AACGAGAGTGAGGGAGCGCACACGGGAGTGGTGAACACACGAGGGGTTGCCAAGCAAGTAGAGCACCTGTGGGAGCTACCGGCTTGGAAGTGCAAGGGTAGGGGGAGACGGCTGGTGGATGGTGACTCTCCACTGGTGGTGGATTGTAGATGAAGGTGGATAGAGGGAGAGACAGGGAAGCACAGAGTAGAGAGTAGCGAACCCCGGGGAGGAAGCCAATCAATAAACTCACTCGGCTCGCACTCACTTGATATACCCCAGTAGCATAGCCCAACTGGCGTTAGCCAGAGTGAGTGAGGGAATACAGTGAGAGGGTCCCCCCTTGAGCCACCATTACGTACGCCCACCATCGACTACCAGCCATTTTGTACGTACTCGCGTACTGCATCGGTGTCATTTCATCCCATACGTTGTCGACCTCCTGTGTGTTGTATGTAGGAAAGGACAAAGACCCAAGTGGAATCATTTTGTGAAATAAAAAGGAAAGGGATCTTTGATTCGGGGAATTCAATGGGCTCTTCCTCGGATTCCACTTCAGCTCTTTTCGCCTCGTTTTTTTTTCCTCGAAGGGATATATAGGTATAGTTGATGGGAAAACACCTCGTGGGTGTGGGGTTTTGCCTCTCCAAGCGAGACACGGAGAATCTCGTTACGAGGGCTCCCTCTCAAATCCCCACTTTAGTCACTCACGAGGGAGAGAGAGTGAGAGAGTCAACCTTCTTTTTCCGTCGTGCGTATACACCAATTCGCCGTGAAAAATACCGTGAAAACGTAGACCCGAGAGACGATTTATTCCCGAAGAGTTGAGGAGAAAAATCGGAGATTATCGTCTGGCGTTCCAGCGGTGCACTTACAAACGAGTTCAAAAACCATAATACTCAACATACCCGTAAGCCGCCAGCGTTGGATCGTAAGGATAGTACCCCGTGGCCGCTGGTTGCAGTGCTGCTGTGCCCCATGCTGCACCCATGTCCGCTGTCATTCCCATTCCCGTGGCATCCTTCAAACCATAAGGATTTCCCTGAAAGGTTAAAAAACATGAAAAAAAAAAAAATACTGGAGATTAATCCACACGTTGACTTCTGTGTCAGTTGAAAGGCGGACGGTAGAGGGACTCGCGGGACTAATACCGAAGTGGACTAATGGAGTCACACAATGGGATATTATTAGTCGCTCAGGTCTGAGTTTCTGGCGCCAGTGCGTTTCGTATTTCACTTCTGTTCGCTTACGTCGTCGCTCTAATTCCTTAATTCCCATTCCCTGGGTCCTTATTTTTATTTCACCACGTTCTCTCCCTTCCGGGTGCTTTAATTCTACCATGAGAGGGATTTCACGTAGTGGTGAAAAGGGGGGAGGGGGGACCTCCTAGAGTATCCTTCTTCGCCGAGGACCACTCGGCGCCTTTTTACGACGTTGAACCACGGGTGGTCTCCATCGAGTATATGAACCTCGTCCTCAAGGCTCTACTAGCGTCACGACGCGGCCTTCTCTCCCCCTATTCCCCTCAGTCGGCTTGCATAAATGCATTCAGATCACATAAAAAAAGTAAAATGAAAAATAAATGAGAGTGGAAGTTCGTTTAGTCGCACTAACTGATATTGTCTATCGTTCCACGATAATTGAATTAACCCGAGAGATGCGATAACGCGGGTGATGAAGCCGTATTCTCTAGGGCAAGTATGCGAGTTGCGTCAAAGTTTATGAAAGAGGCAAGTAAGTACGAGTGTTGGAGGAGGATGGGAACAATGGCTATTGCCCGGGGAGGAAAGAGGACGAGACGTCGAGAGAGGAATGAAAAGAGAGATGGAAAAAAAGGCATCCCGACTCGGGGACCACCATGTGCGTTCCTGTTTGTATATAAGGACTCCTGCTTCCACTCGTGCTTATTGCCCTTATTGCCGTCGCACCGGCCATTTCATTCAATGCTAATCCGGCTCTTATTACATTCTTATAACGCTTTCGTTGAAAACGATGGGTAAGACTGCGCTGGGACCCCTTTCCTTCTTTCCTACTTATTCTGGATTTGGAGTCCCATTGCCAGCACGTGCTACCACCCCCACTACCCCCCCCCTGTGTTCAACTGAGAAATTGAGAAAAAAGGTTTTCATTGGAATGATATGATGGGGCGAAAAGAAGGAGAACAAATAAATGTGCGGGGAGTGCAGTCGAAATAACGAATTAATGAGTCTTCGTGCCTGATGAAAAAAAATTCTACAATACCGACTCAATTCTCTTGGGCATTATAATCGTCTCGCGTGCAGGACGGACATGGCCGATGGCAAAAAAAACTGCACACGTGATGCTAAATAACGGACGATGCTAACTACCTTCGAGTATGTACTTGAATTATCGTATGGAACGGAGGACTGAGCGAGCTTCGCGTTCACATGTGATAAGAATCAATGGAATAAAAATATTGAAGAAGAGGGAAAAAAATGGAAAGGTGAACTCGCGCGCGCTCTGCGAGGACAGCACGCGCTGGGTGTACGTGTCGAGTGACATTTCGATTTTCATAGTCGATAAATGTTGGGTATCTTTTGTACATGGAAAATGCGGTAGAATTATGTGGTTTTAGAGCTGGTGTTTTTCATGTTTTTTAATTATTCAAACTACTAAGGTCGAAAAACGCGGTTTAATTGAGTGCAGCGAGCAACATATGATTTGAAAAAGTATTTTTCGAATACACTGTAAGAAATTTTTTTTTCTGCTTGTATAACCTTTTAGGTTCTTATTATTACCCTTCCTACCCCCGAACCCCCTACAATGTTCTACATTCGCCGAAGAACAACGGAAAACTTCACTTGAGAGAAAAACCTGCCCAGGGACAGTCGTCTCCTGCGAGACTCCTGCTCGACAATGAAACTGTGAGATTTAGAGTGTCAAAATTTTGGCTTTGAAATCAGTAAAATTCCAGTCAATATATTCTCGAATTTTGAATTAATTTGATAGCAATTGCAAGTGAATCGAGGAATTCTGGTCTTTGTCCTACAAAAAAATTGTAAATTGTTTTGACATTGCCGTAAAATTTTAAATTTCATTATTTTTTCCCTGCTCAATCGAATTTAATAGTGAATTTAATGCTCTCCTGAAAATGATTATCAAACATTCTTCGGAAATTTCAATTTATTCGAATAGTGTGGTGAAATGAAAACTACAATTCCAATAAAACAATTAGTTCTCATTGCGCTGTGCAAAGCTTTGGCGCCAATTAATAATCATGAATAAAAGATGTATAGTCAAAAAATATGAAATAACACATTTTCCGAATTCGCATTCATCACATAACATCTGCCGTTTTTATTTCGAGATAATACTCTGCATAAATCTTCTCTTGTTCTATTCAGTCCATAACTTGAAATACAAATGATAACTATATCTGTTAGGTACAATTAGATTAGTAAGTAGTTCATTATTATGAATCGCCACAACGACCAGTCAACTCTTTGCCCTTCATCCTGTGATGCCTCATGTGACGCGTTCATCAACTCCTTCGCTGAAGAAGGAGAATCTATACAGCGTTCCACATCGCTGTGACGTCACGTGATATTGTTGGGGAGGATTCAGGATAAAATAGGAGGGGAACGGATAATTCTAGTTATTACCCTGTCAAAAAAGAATTTAAATTTTATGGACGGTTTAGTGGTGATTTTCGGGAGATTGACATTGAATTTGATCGAGGGGGGGAAGACCCTATGAAATTCCTAATTCCGTTGATTTTTTTAGTGAAACATCATCAGGATATTCCTGATCAAGTTATGCTTAATTCGTTCGGATTTTCCTGATTTTTATTAATTTTCAGGAAACAGTTGAACTGAAATTTACATCGCATTTTAGTTCCCCTGAAGTTTCAATGAATTTCGTCACTAAGAATTCTGAATTTTATGTAAAGAAGAAAAAGATAGAAAGAAATGTTTGTGTATCTTTATTCAACAAGTACTTGAAAAAAGCACTACCAATCACATCACATTTGTGAAAATCCGTCTACATGTTCGAGATAAATAGTGTCATATTGAAATCGCTCCATCGAAATTCATCGAAAATTACCTCATGTTCCTAATCACATACGGCCTATTAGAAATTTCTTGGAAATTTTTATCACAGTATAGTTCCACAGAAATTTCAAGGAATTGCGCCATCGGGAATTAACAATGTTATGAAATAAATCAATGGAAACGGTAAATTTCAATTCCATTATTCTATGGAAATTAATGGAGATTAGGAAAATATAGCGTGATTCAGTACTGAATATTCATGGTTTGATTGAAAATTCAAATACACTCTTGATTTTTTTTTGTTGACATTTTCGCTACGCTTTTTGGAAATTTTAACACATTTTGGTTGCTGTGAAATTTCAAGGAATTTCATCATAGAAAATTAAGAATACCATGAAAAAATCAATGAGAACGGAATGATTAGTAGAAGCCCGAAAAATTCTGCTAAATATATTCTCGAATTTTCAATTCATTGAAAATGTACCGTAATTCGGTATGAATATTCATGATTTCACGGAAAATTCAAATAACTGAACTTATTTGAATTCACATCTCAATGCTGTTCAAAAATTTGGAATTCCGTAAAATTTTCTGTGAAATTTCACATTTTATGATTTTTTCTTCTTAAATCGCATTTAATATCACTTTCCTGAAAATTACTAGTCGATTGTTCAATAATTTTCACTAGTTTTCTACCAGTGTAAGTTGAGAAATTCTCGTCTTATTGCTGTTCAAAAATATCAAATTTCACAGCATTTTCTATGAAATTAAAATGCCACGAGTCCCTCCTGAATCTAATGTGACTCTAATGGATCAATGCCGCTCTCTCAAAAATTACTACTACTCAACTGTCCATGGAATTTCCCTTTTTTTCCCAAACACTACTACAACTATTTGCTAATGCTCATTAAAGCAGGAAGGATGTGTCCTTCTGAATAAGACCAATCCGTTGGGTGAGATTCCCTTTCGATTATGTTTCGCATCACCCTTGTGCTCAACCTAAGCCAATCACGACGCGTTTTCCATCCACCTCCTGTTCTCACCTCGTCCAATCCCCCCGCCGTGCACCCCGTATCGATTCCATAAACTCATTTCGCCTCATGAGAAAACAATACTGAATATAGTCGACGTATAATCTGACGGTTTTTCCATTCTCATGAGAATTCAATAGTGTGAGAATGGCCTGAGATTTTCGTATCAAGATAAATCTTGTTTATTATTAACGCAACAGTTGCTGTTTATTTTCAAATGAAACGTAGATGTAAAAACACTGGTATTATTGCGTCGTTGAAGTAACGTGCATCAGTAAATGCTTAGAAATAATATCTAAAAACTGCAGTAAGATAATTGCTAGCGATAAGGGTTAACTACCTCCCACAACATTGATGACAATATCGCTTTAAACACTTGGTCTGAAGGTGTTCCATTTAATTTTCAAACAATTTCTCTAATGGCATTGCACTCCAATTGTCACCTAGCTTGTTTTTCCCCGTTATCGTTTGAAAATTGCTCGAAATTACGTAAAAACGTTATCATTTTTTTCTGTTAAAACAAACACACAAAAATAGGTAAATCAAAAATCGTGTTGTCGATAAGAATCACCAGACCTGTGATAAAAAAAACACTCCTCCGAAGAAATGAAAATTTTTATCGGCGAATTCAGAGATACTGATCTTATTATTACACCGGCAGACATCAAAGGATATCCCCCTGGAATGGAGGCGCGAGAGACACGTCGCTTTCCCTCTCCCCCGTGGCCACAAATAAATCTATTAAAAGAGCTTGGCGCAAGGGAATTATTAAATTTTTCGTTGAGAAAACATTGGAATTCAAACGAATCAGGGTATCCCGCTGGGATAAATTAATCGACAACGCCTAAAAGCAACCAATTAGTATAATTATGCCGATGAATTCAAATTTAATTGGCTCCCGGAGTTCTCTCGCCACTCTTCCACGGCAATCGTATGCTTTTTCGTTCCCACCATGTGCGAAGGGGGAGAGAATAAAAAATTGAAAGAAAATGAGAAGTTGAAAAATTCAACTGGGTTGTTGGTCGCGGGTGGGTTGAAGTGGGGTGTGCCTCATTGCGGGTCGAACCAATAACTTCCCTACCAACCGTTTTTCGAACTCATTGAATTTCCAAGAAATTTTAATTTTTTCACAGGTTTTGTGTGAATAGCTAATAAACCACTGATGCGATGGTCGTCACACTCTCATCAGTTCTAAGTTACATGAATGCGCATTAATTGAAAACAAAGCAAGTGGAGAATTGCTCTTGTATTGCATACAATATAATTTAAATCGATGAGTTAAATTTTAATTAGTGGTGATCGATAGAGCGCAATAATACCTACATTTGAAAAGAACAAAAATATTTAATTCCACCCATTCATTAGCGACCAATTGAAGACAAACTTCGTTACATACGTACACACATCCACATACACGTGCGGACGAGGTCTAAAAATTGCGTTTTCAGACTTTTTGGATCATATTGGGTCGATATCACACAAAAAATCCAAAACTTAAATTTGAAGGATTAGAAAGCTTTCATTATGAAGCAAAAATAAGAATCAGCGCATTCCTCTAGATAAAGTAATTGAATTTCGACGAAATTGTCATTTTTTCACATGTTTTGTGCGAATAGCTAACAAACCACTGAGACGATTGTTACATAAATGCGCATTAATTGAAAACAAAACAAGTGGGAAATTGCTCTTGTACTGCATACAGTGTAATTAATGGCGATCGATAGGGCTCAATAATTCCTACATTTGAAAAAAAAAGATTTAATTTCATACACTCATTGGCGAACAATTGAAGAAAAACGTTATTACATACGCACACACATACACACACGTACGGACGAGGTCTAAAAATTGCATTTTCGGACCTTTTGGATCATACTAGATCGATATAACACAAAGAATCCTACACTGAAATTTGAAGGATTACAAAGCTTCCATTCGTAAGCAAAAATGAGAATCAGCGCATTTCTCTAGATAAAATAATTGAATTTCCACGAAATTTTCATTTTTTCACATGTTTTATGCGAATAGCTAACAAATCGCTGAGTCGGTCCTCTCCATACGCTAATCAGTTGTAAGTTACATTGACTCACATCGATTGACAAAAAAAAATTTCTTGAATTGCTTCATTTGTTACCAGAAGATATCGTTCAGAAGATATCGTTGGACGAAATTTCGGTCACATACGTACATACACACACACCTCCAGACATGTCTTCAAAAACGCATCAGAATGATTCTAGAGACGAAGAAATGTTGAGAAATCATGGAAAATCTACATTCGATTTTCGGGGTCATTACAATAACTTCCTTCCTTCGGGTCGGAAACCTAATGAAAATCCAGCAATCGATGGAAACTCACCAGAGGTGAATAGAACGCCGAGCTGTCCATTCCGATGCTAGGATAGGGCCCCTGATCCGTGGCTGACGGTGTGGGCGTGGGATACGACGAGTAGGAAGTGGCAGTTGGTGCTAATCGTGGATAGGCACCTAGGGCAAGTCTAGCAGTGTCATACTGACAGGAGCACACCGTTTGACCCGTGACAGGATCTGTCATCATCGGTCTACCATTTTCACAACAACCAGAGCCACCAACAGGAGTTGTAGCACCTCCTGATGTGCCTGGCGCTGCTCCTGTTGTCGTCGTAGCCGTTGACGACGGTGACAAAGCACCAGGACTCAATGCACCACCTGACGACATTGCCGGTGATGTAGCTGTTGTCGGTTGTCCTCCACTCACCAACAGCTGTAACACGATACATTCATTAAACATTTTCCAGCAACGTCATTCCAACTTGTAGATGTCTATCAAAATTTCATAATGTGTGAGATGTTCGATTGATAGTGTCTCAACTACAGATGTATGCACTCTCGGTTTTCCGCTACAAAATACTTGGGTCACACTGGGAATATCCCAGTGACGTGCCGCTAACCGTATACATTTGGCCGATGTACAGTGGAGAGAATAGATTGATAGAAGGGGCCACCCTTCAGCCATTCCCCACAGGACAACAACTGTAGGGTATACTCTCAATACGGAGAAAGGGGTCTTTTATTCATGCGCATTCTCATCGCCACCAAAACTTTGTCCCTCTTTCGCCTCCAAATGTCCGCTAGAACTTGGCGAGCCACGAATTAACTCCCTGCTATAAATTTATGGAAAATACTCCCCTCGCTCTCTCGCCCGCAAAACCCTTGTGCACCAGTCCATGGATAATCCGGATTCATTACCCCAGTAGAGGTCACTAGTCTAGTAGTGGAGTTTCCAATTGGACACTAATTTCAAACTTGTTTCTGAACAATTGGAAATTTATAAACCAAGTGAGATGGTTTTGTTACTCGAGTGTACACGATTCCACAGCTAATTTTAAACAATGATGTTTAACCGGTAAATTAATGTCACCTGATGTATACGACAGGTCTGTGACAAATTGTTAAACCGTGTTCTCTGGTAGGATGGAATTGACACAAAGGCTGACAATTTATTTTTATCCATCGAGAACTGCAACTACGGTTGGTGCAAACAAAGTCCCTGAAAGTTATTAGGGAAGCCCAATTTCAGAACGTGGGACAAACACGTCGACGCGTCCTCTCCTCTCAGTTTAGATCTATTTGAGGCGTTAAGAAGAGTCCGTTAAAGCGTTATAAACTCGAGGAGACGACTCGAGAAGAGGATGCACTACATCCCCGAGACAGATGGTATTTTTATTCTTACGACCCACTAAAAAAACTAAGAAGTGTCAAAACCCTTCGTATTTCTTCTCCTCGATGGATTCGTTTTACTACAATGTCAAGAGCGCGCTATAAACCGACAATTGTGTATGAGTGATCTACTGCGCATGTGGCGGGCGCAGAGGGAGAGGGCGCCACGGGAATTTTCAGCGAGACCATTGGTAATACGAAGCCTCGCTTAAACCTGCAGGGCAGGTTTTGTCTCCTGCGCTGCAACCGCACTTTTTGAGAGCATATATATTGTATCACTTCTTAAGGGCGTGGATTCGTTTATCAAGTGTCGATTCGTCGGCGAATAAGTCAAGCGAAATGCCGTTAAATCAAACGGCGAGGGAACACCGCTCTTGTTATTCAACATAACAGCAATAAAACAATTGGAGGCTGGCTCTAATTGTTTTATTTTTTGTCACTCACACGAGGGGTTTCAATGCTACTCCGCACTTTCGACTCTTCGATTACACGGTGCAGTGTCTGTGGATGTCGGAGGGAGATACGTCCCCAATGAGTATTAATATCATTATCGCATAAGTGTGTATCAAAGAGGAAATAACATTGAACAATATTGGTCCCGTTTTCCACACGGAAAAACTATAGGGGAGGCTGGAGTAAAACGGACCCTTTGAATTTTTTTTAATGTTAATGAGGGGTTAAAATGTTGATAAAATGTAATATTTTTTTTTTTAATACAAAGAACAACTCTTTCCCTTTGTGACGAGCCTAAACTGAGCTCAATTGATAAATTTGTTTCTGAGTTATGAATAATTAAAAAGAAGTCTAAAATGTCCATTTTACCCCACCCTTCCCTATATATACAGAAATATACGTCACTTATATCCACGTATATGTAGTATACTTTCCGGTAAAAATGCAATAACTGAGATGTATGTGGGTACATATATGCTACCGGATATATCTAGCATAGACCTGGTGTACAAGGCGGATATTTAAAATATAATTCCAGCAAAATCACTATATCTCACTTATAAGTTTTGGCTTATGTTTTTTTCTATGCGGATTGGACACTCCAGAAAGATCGGTCCTAAATTAAGATCGGAATGTCCGGAAATTCAAAATGGGAAATCCGTCTTAAAATGGTGAACACCTACTCCAACCTATTATGTTTTGAGGGTAAGAGTTCCTCTCTTCACCAGTCACGTCCTCGTCGTGAGTCCTAGGTCACGCTAAGAACTGGTGAGGATTGAATTCTTCATCAGCACCCCTTGTGATTTCTTAAGAAAGTGTCACTTGTATGAAATTAAGTGATGTACAAATCATAATTAATTTTTTTGTTGTATAGAGGGCGGCGGAGATTTATTTTCCGATCATAAATTTCCGAACATTCCGATCTTTATTTAAGGATATTCAAGTTCTTTGGCTTTTTTTTCTCCACTGAAATGTTTTTTTTACTTTTGTAGGCGAACATCAGAGCTTTCATTTGAGCCCAATTTGACCTCAAGTTTCCGGACATTTTATAATGACTTTATTATTTAAACTTTCCGTATTTGAATTTGAATTTCGATGTAGAACCGTTAGAATATATTAAAAAAATCTGGAAACAAAATTATAAAGTTTATTTTTGCAGGCAAATTGATGAAGTAATTTAAAACTTCCCATTTTTTAATATTACTAGCATTTTCTATAGATAATTTATCGTAACAAAATTCTTAATATTCAGAGTTTTACCAGAAATCGATGTCATACCTAAATAAATTAGGTTTCCGGAAGGTTAAACAATTTGAATCATTCATTTATAAACAACGAATGTTTAAAACAATAATATGAATGTTAGCGATTTTTCTCAAATTTTTCTCACGCAATTTAATTGACAAATTTCATGATTGAAAACGGCTGAATCTACGGTGTGGTCTGTACCAAACTGTAAAAGATACTTGGATATCCTTAACCCCTCACGTACGGGGTCGATGCCATGCGTCCACCCATGAAAATATGAATGACTCTCTTTAAAATTAATTATTTTCAAAACTATGGAATTTAACTCGATCAAACAAATAACAACGAAAAAAGGAATACTGTAGCTTCAATTACATAGCAGTTTCATAATTTTCCGTTGATTAGAAGTCATTACATTCTATTTGAATCGAGCGTACTCTGCGCATGGAAACAAAAGGGCCCTGTCCGTGAGGGTTAAGGCATAACCCTAGAAAACACGTTTTTCTTAAGATTGTCTCCATGTTTTTCATAGATAATATTTATAACAGTCCCCAGCTATTGAAAAAAATGCAAACTAGCTGTACTACACAGTTTAGGAGATAATGAATAATGGAATGCGGGCGTCTAACACGCGAGGCATTGACCAAACGGGGGTTATGGGCCCCCCGAAGTCGATTTTTCCATCTTATAATATTCCTAGAAACGAATCTGTGGTAAATTGATAAATTCCGAATATTGTGATTTTTTTGTGAAAATCTGTACTACATCGTTCCTGCGACACTGAACTCTAAAAAATAGAAATTTCGTGGAAGCATTCCTCATTTGATTCAAAAAATGAATTAACAAATAATTTCTCATTTGATTCAAACAGTTATTATTGCCAGTATCAACCACACATGAGGACAGAAAAACTCAATAACTTATGAGAATACAATAAACTAAATTATTTAGAATTTTTTCTTGAAATCAATAGGGATAGACTTTAAGACCGATTTTCTTAGAGTGTAAAAATTCCGTTCATCATATCATTCGCAACAAGCCATCAAACAAAGAGACTGTCGACGTTACTCCACGACCATAATGTACACATAGTCGTACAATTATGACACGCATGACACACGATACCCGCGTTGCGCGATTCGCCGCTACAATTAACGTCAGTGTCGATAACACCTATTCGCATAACGTCCGCAGTGTTATTGGGGAATAACACGCTCGCAGCGGATGCACAATGCTCTTTCCGCGGTGTGTCCATGTTGCTTCTCTCAACTGTCATATATTCACGGAGATTTTTCTCCGCACCTGTAACCGAAGAATCTCAAGGTCTTCCGCACTGACCGAGCCCCGATGACCCTCAGACTCACCTGACCCATCGATAAACATTTTCTCCATTAAACCCGTGTCACTCCTCTGTGTTATACAAATTAAACAACAAATTCCGTTGTCCGATTGGCAAAAAATTAACATGTTTTTTATTGAATGTTATTTATCATTCATACCGTCTGGTTCTTGATAAATCCGCTTAATTGGTCGGTGAACACATACAACGATTACGCATATCAGGTATGAAACCGGCGAAAAAAAAGAAAAAATCAGTGGAAAGGAGAGAGACGGTGTAGTGCGGCAACGCAGTCCCATTTGCAAAATCCCGGACGACATGCCGCACGTCACTTGCCAACCAATAATGCAATTTGTGTCTCACATACTGTGTTACACTGGTACACACATGTTATACGGCTTGCATCGTTGTTCCTCCGTCGCCCAAGTTGGCGTGGCGTTGAGTTTGGTACAGATCACGCACCTGCATTCGCGAGGAATACCTATTCTATCCACTTGTTATTTTTCCACAAGACTTTTACGTGGCGAATAGAGACAGCATCAACTGCGGTACACAGAGGGCCAATGCGCATGCGCGCAACACCAACCCCCATTCGTGAGTGGTGGGATTTACTTTTGAGAGCATCCCAAACTGGCTCACCCCAAAGTGGAGTTGAACTCTTGTACCGATAACTTTTGGCAAACCGGAAGAGTGGACCAGAGAGAGCATCCTTGTGCGCATAAACTTGGGACGAAAGCTTTTACCAAGTATAAGAGCAAACATTGTAGTCCAACAGCGAGTGAAAGTTTTCCCGGATGTGAGAGAAAAAGGATTAGACTCAGTTCCAGAGAGAAATTAAGTAAACATATGTAGAGATTCTTATACACGAGCGAATGAAAAAAAATGAAACAATCGTGTGGAATAATTCACGTGAGATTTATATTCCGGAATCCTTCCATTACCATTATTTTTGAAAGGGAATTTGCGACGAGGCGCGAAACAGCCCAAGCGTATCAAGGAGATTCCGAAAGATCCACACGCGTTTCCAAATGAAGTTACGAGGCATGCTGGCTGGTGCCTCAGCCGTGAGAATACCCCGCTGGGTCGCAGGCAAAGATCACCAGGACGCCGATTAATCGTTCTCACCGGCAAACGTATCAGACATTTTGGTATTCTACGCGCGCGCGCATGGAAAACACAATCAACGCCCCATTCGCCAGTCCATATATATTTTTTTTTCGGCAATTCTTTTTTCGGCAGGAAGACGAAGAAGAAACAATGAGCGGTATATTTTTAATTGAGAGTAAAGGAAGAAAGCGGTGCCTTGAGTAATGAGAATTGATTGGGCAATATCCTCGTAGTAATGTGTACGTACATTGTATAAATTTGATTGTTACTATCGATAACCCTATTTACTTTGCATATTTTTCCTCATTACAATTCATAAGCGCACGTTCATAAATCCTATTGTCGATGCTTGTTGGAATGAGAGAGGAGGGGAGACAGAAGAAGAAAGAGAGAGAGAGAGAGAGAGAGAGAGAGAGAGAGAGAGAGAGAGAGAGAGAGAGAGAGAGGGCATGTGGATAATTTATTCCAGCTGAAATATATTTATAGAAAAGACTGGTGGACATTCTAATACACGAGTATCAGTAATGTTTCACACGGAACGTGAGGAGTTGAGAAGCGACGGCCGTCGGTGAGACTTAAGAGTTGAGGGCAGGTGGTACACACACCAACCTTTTGACTCCTGCATCGAGACAGGTTCCCTTGTATCCCTTTTCAACGATTATAATTCCTCCGCTTCTTTCGTAAACAGCTGACTCACTGACACAATTGTAATTGTGTCAGATGGGTGAAAGGGGTGAGGACTGAGCATGTCTCAACATCGTGACAATCGGATTATTCTTCTTTTGTGCGATTTTTCGAGTGGTTTGATAGCCGAAAGGGGTTGATATTTAATGCAGAGCGGGCGAGTGTCTTACCTGTGATGCCGACGGATATGAGTATCCGAATTGGGCGTAAGCTGACATTATCTATCTCGTCTGTTGTTTTATTAAAAAATAAAGCACAATCTCACCAGCACGCACAGTACACTCACGCGAGTCCCTGAGAGCACTGCGTGCACCTCAATTTCAATCCCAATTAATTGATAGTGTCATCGATCTACTGTCATCATGTCCTCCCATGGCATTTCCCCCTTGACTTCATGCTGAATATTCACTCTCCCCGGTCTATTGCTGAGCAACTTGCGGCTCAATTAACACAATTTTCTCACGTCGATTAATCACACAAAAAACGTCCATCTGTTACATCTGATAAGAACCCTGTAATTCCAACGGATTGATATTTAATTCAGTTCTTCCTAGCTCGATGGTACACTCTCAATGATGGATGGCTCTTCGACAATCGCATGAATAACATAACAAACACTGGATTTGACACACGCGGGACGGACGTTGAACCAATGAAAAATAGATGCTTCACCAGGATTAAGGTTATAGAGATTTTGATACGGATTTTTGAACACCACAGGGTCCGTCCCCTGCTCTCACAGGGCTCTCCAGTCTACGACTGACTCGACTCCACTCACACCACTTCATGGGCTTCCACTCTGAGTGGCTTCTCTCGTCTCGAATCCCCATCTGGCGACAAACAATGAAACCATGGACCCCCACTTCTCGTCCATGGGCGGGGATTAATGGCTCCTACCAATGGGGAATCATTCTCTGTCTCATCTGCCCCACCCACTGGGTGGTTTTCAGCCTCATCATTGGTGCGATAGCTCGTTAATGGGCGTGGGATGGGAACAAGCCCCGCTCCTCAGACAAACCACGCCCACCACCCATTCAGGAGTGGAAAGCACCGTGAAACGAGTCTCTTCTCCTTTTTTACTTTCCCCATTCTTTTATTGTCTCACTCACACCACTGTCACACATCCAACCCCGGGATTGTAGCGTCGTACGGCCAACTGAGAACAACGAGGTACGAGTGTGTTTACGCGACTCGACTCTTGTCAACTCCGTTGGCACGGGACTTAAATAAATCTGGCATTTTCTTTCCCCTCTTTTGTCCACCCCACCCACCCTCTCCTCCTCGTTTTATCGTTATATTTTACACCAACATTGTTGGGACATTGACTCTTTTATTTGGATTTGTCGCTTTTTTTTTCCACCAAGATATTCTGTCTATTTTTTTCACTGCCTGTTTTATGTGGAATGAGATTGTACAGATTGGGATACTGAGAGGATGTTGTTTCGAGATAAGGGGGATTTAATTGATGGCTCTGACAAATTGTAAATTTTTCATTTATGCTGATTTTTAGTGATTTATTTTCTGCGAGTGTTCGGCTGACTACGGTTTTGCCAGAATGACTTATGTTTCGGGGATATAAAACCTTCATTTTGTCGTGACGAGATACAGGAGGTGGCTTTGTACGTGGAACTCTGTTTACTCTGGACTTAATTACCTCCTGCTCCCAACATCAGGCAGTTTCACCGAGATAATTGTCATTTGAGCCCGGAAGGATTAAGGTTTGGTGTAGGTCCGGGGGTATTTGGAATAATTTCACGGTCTATTAGTCCATTACTTCTGAGTTTAGGGTTGGGGTCATTTGGTTTGGTGAGTATGGGACGAGTTCAGTTATGCAGAAGACTGAACTCTCCCCCATCTGTAAAAAAACCTTCGACATAAGTAAAAACCTGAGTATCCTTGAAACAAATGATTCGTAAGGATCTCGGGGGCGACAGTCGACGCAACAGTAAAAAAATCCGCATGAGACTAATAGGATTAGCTGAGGCAGGTCGAGAAAAAGGCAGGGATGTAAGAGGGCCAGAGATAAGGAGTCCCTCTTCGGGATAATGTTCTTTACCTGGGTGAGTCGAGGTGAGGGGCCCCGGTTCCGGGGTGATTTACTAGCCTCTGCGTAAACCCGGTGAACCTGTCGATCACGCCCCCAAACATCCAACGACATAATATTCTTGTTTGTAAAAATGGTATTCTACATTTTCGACCTTCACCGAGTCACGACTTATCTTAATCCCTGCTTTACTGCTCTTCCCCTTCCCCCCGTTCCGTTCACGTATTTACACTTGTTCTTGTGCACTGGGGGTCAGCAAAAAAATGAAGTGGTATTTAACTGATTGTAGTTTAGATAGAACGAATGGAGCTAAACGGACTTTTGTTTTTCATTTTTAATCTTTTTGGAATGAATGTGTGAATCACGCGGGAGAGATATTTCTATTAAAATTTATTCCTGAACTTGAGTACATGGAGAAAATGATGAACGAAAACTTTTGAGAACGGTGAAGAGACATTACTAAACAGTTTACCGGACAATGTCGATGGAAATATCGTCAGATTTACTCATGTTTTTGGTACACTTTCCATCGGAAATTCACAAATTTTATTCTCCGTCAACGAAAAACCCTGATCCACCTCTTTCTCATTCGATTCAAATAGTTGTTGCAACTTGATTCAGTTCGCTGATAGATTTCCTGGTGAAGTAATCTGGCGACACTGTTAGAAAATGATTTCTGAAATTTCAAGTAATAAATCTTGAAATTTTTAACAAAATTTCATTCACACGAGATTTTCACATAGTTTTTTAGTGAAAAATCAGTTGAATTCTGGAGTATTCAATGAAATTGCAATTTTCTGATCCACATGATACTGCAAATTAGTAAATAATTTGAAAATTCAAGCTACAATTTCCCTGAATTTTCAATCCACCGAAAATTCAGTTGGATGTGATGTTCAATTTTCGCAGTGAATTTAAAAATTCTAGATGTTATTGAAATATCAGTGATTATCTAACACGGAAAGTCCATAATTATCCGGAATTTCCAACCCGAATGAGAGATTTCATAACCGATTTGATCTTAAATCGAATTCAAATTCGCAACATTGAAAATAAATTAAATTCAAATTCACAACAATTCAAGAGAAACTAATTGCTTAATTTTCAAAAAAATTCTAACAGTGTACTTGAACGAAGGAAATAGTGAAGATGATGCAATAAATCTCTCCAAAGGGATCACATTCTATTAGAAAAAATTGAATTTTAACGGATAGTTCAGTAGTAATTTCAAGAGAGCGACATTGAATTCGATTTGGTAGCCGGGAGAGGGGGAGATTCGAAGGAATTTCACATTTTTGAGCAGCAGGGTAACGAGAATTCCAACTTACTTGAATTTTCAAACAAAACATGAATATTCGGTATAAAATTACGTTGACGAGAAGGACGACAATTTCAAGTTACTTAAATTTTCAATCGAAACAAATTGCGCTGAAATTTAATGGACAATTCAACAATTCATTTACCTGAATTTTCCTAATTTCTATTCATTTTCATGGAACAGTTGAACTGGAATTTACAGGTTTTATTGATTTTTCCATCAAATTGTGATTTCTCAACTCCAAAATTCCGTAAAATTTCAGTGGAACTGTCATTAGATTCAAATTTGCTAAGAGTCTAAAACTGAAAAACTTTAGGAAAAATGACTATAAAAACATAATCCTAATAAGAAACCCTCTTTTGGGAACTTTTACTTGAAATTGAAGAGATTTTCACGCAAAAACAGCAAAATTGCTACGCGAAAAATGAAATTTATGGTTAGTTCTGCAATTTTTACGTAAAACTCTTTAAAATTCTACAGAACCGCCATTACGCACGAAAAGAGGAAAAAGTATTGATTTTCAGTTATGCGTCACGAATATTCAGTGATCCATCGCTAATTTTTAGGAATCAATCACCAACCTTATGAACAATTCACGATTGTGAAATTAAACGCGTGCAAAATTCTGGAATTCACATAATTCACATAATTTTATCACTAATTTGTAGCCAACAACTAAAATATTTGTTTTTGTAATTCTAGCTGTACGACAGCACTTCCGTGAATTCTTGACAGAAAATTATGACAGAAAATATTGTTCGTCACACGACCGAAATAGTATAGTTCGTCATTAGGTCGGAACAAACTTTTCTGGCGAATATGAGTTTGCAACCCGAGCCGAAGGCGAGGATTGCAATCGTATAAGCTAGAATAGTACATTTCAAGCCTAGCCGTGGAAAACAGATCATCCGCCCCCACGTGCAACATTGATGGCAAGTACGTGGGAGAGGATGATATGTTTTCGACGGCGTGGCTTGAACAAAATTTTTCCAGGCGCAGGGCCTGGGAAAAGTTTTTTTAAGCCGCGTGACGAACAATACTCTTCATCGTAAAAACGCTGTAGGCAGTGATTCATAAACGCTTAGCGCCCGTGAAACGCTGTCTTACAGCCAGAATGATAAAACAACTGTTCTGGAAAATATACTATAATAATATTAATATATAATATAGTTTCCAGCGTGAGCGTTCAGCCTGAGAACGGTGAAAAAAGTTTTTTCGGCCTAGTGACGAAATGTACCATTTCTCCTCGCATCGAACCTGCGTTTTAGAACGTAATCTTCACGCGACGCCCATTACACATTTCCTAAAAGATGTTTCTCCGTGTGCAAACGCCTGCCAAAAATGGCGCAAATGAATCCAATCCATTTTATCCATCCCCCCAAATCCCCTGTTATATCGATTATCAGAATTGAGAGTGTAACAAGTTGTAGATATTATGACTCATTGGAATAAACTCAAAACGCCCCATGGGCACACAGAGAGCGCGCTAACCGGCATAATCTATATGGGCATGAATAATCCAACTGGACATACAGAAACTACAGTTTGAGAGAGAGACAGTGATAACGTGACCGCGGCGTTATTGCTACGACAAAATGCCGTAGCTCCGTTATATTGCACTCTCTATGATTAATCGCCACAAGCGAAATAGCCGGAGAGCGTTTCGGTCTCGTTACCGTCGCACCGACCAGACATTATCGTGCGACATACTGGATATACACGAAACATAGAAAGTAACTGAGGGGTTACTGTATATATACTGGTTATAACCTAACTGCGCGCATGTGTCACCCACCCTGAGAGACCCTGAGAGCGAAGGAAGCGGTTGCTTTGATAAACCGCCTAGGAATTTTGGTATTCCAACGATCGACACGAAAGCTCGGTTTAACGGCTCATTATTCTCATTAGTGAATGTCTGAAAAACCCGGGAAATTCAAGTCCGCGAAGAGGAATTGATAATGTCCGGGGACATTTGTTTTCGCCGTCTTCGCCCCGAAAAAAAGTTAATAACAATGTGACAATGAAAATTACTCGAAACCCCCGGGTCAGAGTAAATAAATACCTCGTGATTTATCTTGAAGTCATGGCCTTTAAAATCCGGGTATGTATACAGATTGAAAGGTTAAATGTTTACAAGCCATCTGAGGGGGGATAAGTTAGTGCTGATAATAAGAACAAACGTATAAACCCCCTCAGCTCGAGGCACCTCTGTGGGTTTTACTTGCTATCTAAGCCATACGTCGACAGTTTATTTGTGGTACGGTTGGGTAAGTTAAATGGGCGCATCCGGTTTTTCGGTTCATTCAGAAGTCACAGGCCGAAGTCTTACCTGTGGTCAAGTCAGCGAGTCCCCAATGCCTACTATAAGCGATAGTGCGGATT